GGGGGGTTGTCCTGTTATCTGCGAACAGTTTGAACCTGCTGGACTTGAGGAAGTGGACAGAGTCCTTAGGACTGTGAGCTCAGCCACCTGCTCTTTAGATCCATGCCCCTCCTGGCTGGTTAAAGAGGCCCGGGGGTTGTTATGTGAGTGGGTTCTAGCAATGGTTAATACTTCCTTGAGTGAGGGGGTTGTTCCTTCACCTCTTAAGGAGGCTTTGGTTCTCCCCCTCCTCAAGAAGCCGTCGCTGGACCCCATTAAACTGGACAATTTCCATCCAGTATCTAACCTCCCCTTTTTGGGGAAGGTGATTGAGAGGGTGGCTGTTCAGCAGCTTCAGATGACCTTGAATGAAGCGGATTACATGGATCCCTTTCAGTTGGGATTCAGATCTGGGTATGGGACGGAAACGGCATTGGTCATGCTTTTGGTTGATCTCTGGCAAGGGCGAGATGGAAGTTAATCAGTGTTAAGATTGTCATTTCTGTAGTGTTTTATTGGTGAAGCACATCACATATAAAATCAGTCTTCAAAACCCAGAAAGATGCATGCTACTGTACAATAAACTATATATTCACAATTTATTCTTAATTTTTTTTTTCTGCACGTTGTAAAGGTTGGACTAGATCAGGGTTCCCAAAGTGGTCAGTATCGACCCACAGGGGTCAATGGGACTATCCATTGTTGTTGTTGTTTTTGTTGTGATTTGTAGTATTATTAAAGTAGTATTTATTAAATTAGTTTCATATAATAAATGGGGGTCGATAAACAATCCGAAACTTTATGAAGGGGTCTATGAGCTGAAGAGTTTGGGGACCTCTGGACTAGATTATCCTTGTGGTCCCTTCCAACTCTACAATTCCCATAATTCTGTGATAACAAAAAGGAGTCCTAATACTATCATAACATCTCAGGGGAAGATCAGGTCACAACAAAGCTCCAAGCTTCAGTGAAAAAATCTGACAGGGAGAATTCTGAAAGCCTCTTTACTCTTGGAAAGTGTTTTATTCTTGGTGATCTGGAGCACAACATGGTGGAATTTAAGCAACAGATTGGGTAACACCAAGAATCTTGGGTCTCCCCAGAAACAGGCCAATGATCTTGTGAATACGCTGATGAAGTGCACACCTCATTACATCCGTTGCATTAAGCCCAATGAGACGAAGAGGCCACGAGACTGGGAGGAGAGTAGGTAAGAGAGGAGATACCAATTGTGCACAAATGTCCACCAAAACCACAAATCAAAAGTAAATTTAATCTTCTTAAAATGCATTTAAGATATCAATGTGAATCTGGTTACTTGCTGATTGTCCTTGCCTCTCCCACTCGCCCCATTTCCTATCTCTAAGACATCTCCCCTCATTGGCGGTTTTCATAAACATGATGCCCTTGAGAGATAAGTCTTAGATCTCCATGCTATGCTAACACACGTCTTGCAGGGTGAAGCACCAAGTAGAGTACTTGGGATTGAAGGAGAATATCCGAGTCCGTCGAGCTGGATTTGCATATCGCAGAGTGTTTCATAAATTCCTGCAAAGGTAAGAAATTAGGTTGCTGTTATTGTGAAGTTACAGTGACATACTTCCTGGGTCCCACAAGATGACATTCTCTAATCAATGGGACCTAGAACATGTCCCTTCTGCTGGACCTGATGGGACAGGTAGACACCAATGGAGAAAGGCAGTCCCTCGAATAACCTAGCTCCATGCCATGAAGGTCTTTATAGGTGACCACCAGCCTCCTGAATTGCACTCCGAAACATACTGGGAGCCAGTGCAGCTCACATAGCAAAGGTGTAACTTGGACATATCAAGATATGCCCATAATTGTTTGCCGCATTCTGGAGCAATTGTAACTTCTGGGTGTTCTCCAAGGGCAGCTCTATGTGGTGCATATTGCAATAGTCCACTTGGGAGGTGATCAAAGCATGAGTGAACATATTCAATGCCTCCTGGTCTAGGAAGAGATGCAACTGGCACACAGCATGAAGTTGTGCAGAAGTCTTCCTGGCCACAGCTGCCACCCGCTCCTCAAATAGGAGCCATGGGTCTAGGAGGACCCCTAGATTGTGCACCAGTTGTGTCTGGAATAGTACAACCCCATCTAGAACTAAAGAGGGAAAATCACTGGATCCAGGAGGCCCTACAACCCAGAGCCATCCAGCCTTACTACCATTGAGCTAAAGACTGTGGGGCTGTATGTGGAGATTCAACCTTGTGGAAAAGCTTAGTTGGGAGGAAAGAGGGAGTCATTCCTCAATTCCAATTCTTCACCTCTCCAGCCTCCTAACTCAGTACCTCGGGAACTGCAGACACCCTCTTGTACTAAGCCATTCTACCCTCCCTCCAGATAATTATTTTTGTCAATGGCCAGGAATGGATGATGGAGAACTGAGTTTTGCAAAGGCCAGGAATGGCTGTTTCCACCCTTTCTGAGATACTTAAATCCCTTGGGTGGGGGAAAACAGAAGAGAAGAAAACTAGATTATTTTTTGAAAGAGAGGAAATGGAATGGGGAATGGAACAGCGTTTTTCCAGCATCATATCCATACCTCCTACACTAAAATTAGAGGGACCCTGCTAACACCGAAGAAAACTGGTCATGTTTATACTCATGGACTCCTTTGATGTTAGCATTACTTTGAAGTTATGACCTGAGCACATACATGCACTCCCTTTCTTAAGGTATGCCATCCTGACCCCAGAAACCTGGCCAAAGTGGCGAGGAGATGAACGCCAAGGAGTCCAGCACTTGTTAAGGTCCGTCAACATGGATGTGGATCAATACCAGATGGGCCGCACAAAGGTTTTTGTCAAGAATCCAGAGTCGGTAAGCTAGGCAACCTCAGCTCCTTTGAAAGTGGTGTCTTTCTGCATTGTGGGTGTCACATAAACTGCCTTCAGTAAAACAAAATATAATCTGTAAATTGAATTACAAGGTAGAGAGTATCAGCTTTACCAGGTGGACCAGACTGGAAACACAATCAGATGAGCTAATTCTACTTTATTGTAAGGCTATATTAACAGGATCTTGCAAGTCTGAAAGTACAAATCTCCTGCCATCTCCTTTAAACCCTGAGAAACAGGGAGGGTTCCTTCTGAACCTCTTGCTCTGCCCACTATCCAGCTGCGGGCTATGCTGTCTCTTATCTGACTGTTTCCTAGGCAGCATCTCTTCGCCTGGTCTCCCAAGGTCTTTCCCACATACCATTACAGTAAGGAAGATGACCTTGATGGAGATATGTAAGGTTCCTTGCTAGGGCAACAAGGGGTAAAGTATATCTTAAGTCCACAACAGACAAATAATATTTGGAAGAGGCTCAGACAGACACCTCCCTAATTCACATAAGGGGAGAAGGAACAGCATGGTCCAACTTGCAAGATTCTGTTATAATAGCCATCTCAATAAAAGTAGTTTTAGCCTTCCTCTGGAGTTATATTCTTGGCCTGGTCTACCTGGTGGGACTGACAGGAGTTTTAAAACAGTGTAAATGCAAGTTTTTTTCCGTTCTCTTTTTCCCACCTTTATTTGATATTTTTCTTTTTGCTGCCAGCTCTTCCTCCTGGAGGAGATGCGAGAAAGAAAGTTTGATGGGTACGCCCGCGTCATCCAGAAAGCATGGCGCCGTCACATTGCCATCAGGAAGTACGAGCAAATGCGAGAAGAAGGTAAGAATGGCCCTTGTTCTCAGGACGTGATGGTATGAAGGATAGTAACTGCAGGTGAGATTCAGAGCCGTTTATGCCCAGTAATCAATAACATTATTATCAGTCATAATGATCTGTACCAGCGTTTCTCAACCTTGGCAACTTTACGATGTGTGGACTTCAACTCCCAGAATTCCCCAGCCAGCATGGGAATTGAAGTCCCCAGTCAGCATTCTGGGAGTTGAAGTCCACACATCGTAAAGTTGCCAAGGTTGAGAAACACTGATCTATACAGAATCATCAATGTGTATCACACTTCAATGAATGCAAGAAGCTCAAGATATTTGCAAACTAAAATTCAGCAGCAGGGGAAATAATAGAGGAAAGAGGAGCAAAGTGTAGAAAACAGAAGCATATTGCATATAAATTGGTTTACTTGCAGGCAGGGATATCTGAAGGGGAGGAAGTAAAAAAGTTAAGATGGCGTTTGCGGCTGTGTAGTTAAATCCTCACACCTTGTTTGACATGCAGTGCCCCCAAGAAAGGGGCGAGGCTTCGATCCCCCAGTTGCCACCACCATCTTGACTTTTTTGCCCCTACCCCACCCCTACCGTCAGCCCTGGTTGCAGGTTTTTGGGTTTTTTGTTTGTTTTTAAGTACAGCCCTGGCCTTCTGGTTAGTTCTCACCTCGAACTTTCTATTTTCTCTTCCCCCGTTATCCCTTCTCTGTCTAGCATCCCATATCCTATACAACTTCAAAGAGAGACGACGGAACAGCATCAACCGGAATTTTGTGGGTGATTATCTGGGCATGGAAGACAAACCAGAGCTGCGCCAGTTCTTGGGCAAAAGGGAGAGAATCGATTTTGCCGATTCGGTCACCAAGTACGACAGGCGGTTTAAGGTAAGATGGAGGTTTATCTTCCATCCTGAGGTGAAGAACCAAACGCTACTCTTCTCAAACCTTCCTCTTTTTTCCAAAACCTGGGAGAATTCTTGGCGTTTGTCGAGAGTTTTAGAATGTTGAAACAGCTTCACAAACTTTCTTCAGTAAGTCTGAATTATTATCTCTGATTTACAGTTAGGAAAGATGGAGACTTATAAAGGACAGTGATACCAAGCATGCTATGGATGCCTCTGCAAATGAGGAGGTATTTCACCCAATATTAGAGAGGTGGCTGGCATGGATGCTATCCTTGCCAAGATGTATACTTGCAAAGGGCTAGCACTTTTCTTAACCTTAACAACATTAAGATGAGTGGACTTCAACTCCCAGATTTCCCCCAGCCCGGGAATTGAAGTCCACACAGCTTAAAGTTGCTGAGGTTGAGAAACACTGGATTAGAGGACCTTTAAAATATATTGTGATCCCAAACTCCTAAAATTCCATTTCAGAAATTGTTGTTCTGAACACCAACAAGTGTCCAGGCACGTAATTTTTTCTTGGTTTCTATCTGAAGCAGGAGGCTTCAGAAGAACTGACTTAGATCAGACCAAAGACCCATCCAGTGCATCACAGAAAATTACTGTCAGCTCATTTGGCCATATGCCTTTCCCTGCTCTTTATATTCTGCATAGGGTATTGAGAAATGTATACTACTGTTGAACATGGAGGTTCTGTTCCACTAGCAACAATAATGGCAATCACCTCTACCTTGTTTTGGTGACTTTCCAGTCTTCTGTATCTTAAGGATTCTAAGGCCAATCCTGCTGGCTGGTTTTGGTT